AAAAAAACCATTTGACGCAGCCGTTTGAGGCCAAGTCCCTGACACTGACAGATTGACCATTTCCACCCCAGGAGCAGACGCTGGCTCAGCCTCCAGCAGAACATATCAGGTTCTAATGTAGAAGAAAGATATTCAAGAAGGGCAAGGACTGTCAAGCATTGTGTTTGGAACCATATTGCCCCATATATACAAAGTTTTCCTGCCTTCACTTTCGGAGACGGCTCTGCTGGCACAGTGCTAGGCAAGCCGTCACTTCCTCCACGTTTCGGCGGGGGAACAAAGTGTTTAAGTAACTCTGCAGCTTTTGCCACAGGCCAGCTCAGAGCATCTGCCAGCTGTTCAGGAGACGGAGGCTTTCCATCAAGCTTCGCGCAAAGAGCTCGAAGTGCAGCCACAGCTTGTGACTGACTTGCCGCCATGTCCCTTGTAAACCGATCTAGCTACACCTGGAACCTCCAAATCTTCCACAGGGATCAAATTGGATAATGTGCACCAGAAACAATCACTAAAGAGATTTGTTGGTGAAAATTGTCAGCTCCAAAAACTGCTCCGGGATATACCGGCGGTTGACGGGATTTACCGGCTTTTCCCGGGGATTTGACGGCGGTTTCCCGCATGGGTTTTTTGTGGTGCGAAAAGCTGCCAAAACTGCCTTGAAGAGTGTTTGGAGCAACTAGTGCAACAAATGAGCTTCAATGACAAAAAAGGCAAGCATGTGTTCATCACTTGGCAGATCTGGCACTGCGCTGGTCTTCTGCCCACATAGCACTCAGTTCCCTCAAGCACTCCCAGCGTCCCCTACCCTCCCATGAATCAGATCGGAGGAGGTAAGCGACAACTTCATCCAAGCAGGCCTTGGCAGGGAAACCAAAAGTATTTACAATCCATTCCAAAGAAGTGCCCTGATTCAGGGAGCTGAGAACCCAACATCCCCCCAGATATCCACATCCAATGGCAAGGCCTGTCATCACATTCAATCGATATCGAACAATATAGGATCAACAACTAGAATAGTGAGCACCTGAATAAACAGCTCGTAGTCAGATTGACGCGCATCAACAGCTGGAACTTCTCGAGGATCAGAAGGTAGCCCCTATTCAGCCAGGATAGGAACATGGGCTTGCAAGCGCAGCCACCACCAAAAAAAATAAGCGCCTGCCATTCAGCATTCGTGAAAGCTTCGTGGAAAAGCAGGGCAAGGTGATCAGCGAAAGCTTTCGAGTACTGCCTGAGTCGCCAAACAGTTGGGCCAAACCTTTGAATGGGTGGACTCAAAACAATGAAGTACAGCCAAAGTACTGACTGTTCTTCAGCACATCACGCTTACCACTCCAGGTGTCTTTTCCATCTATTCCACGGTGTCTCTTCGTGAGGCTTTCTCCACTGAGTTTTGAACGCATCTCCTTTGTCATTGGCCCTGAGCCAGCACGGAGACGGGCCAACAATTGTTCATCATTGCTGTACCACCACTGAGGCTTGGCAGTCTCTTTCGAGTAGCACCCATGCCAGAGTTCCACACGGTAGATCTGGCAAAGCAAGTTGCAGCGCTGAAAGAAGTGAAGGGAAAACATCACTTGAAACACTGAGTTCAAAACATGGCAGGCCAACAAAATATTTGCCAAAGAGCCATTCCATTTTAGGGTGAAGCTCAGCAGCCGAGTTCTGTGGCTGCTCCAACAATATGCGCAAACCCTGACTGATGGCAAACGCAAGGAGAAGCACTGCCCTTGTGAGAATTTTATTCCCCACTTGGACAGACTTGTAGCCACAATTGCCCTGAGGCCAATATATATTTCGCTGGTGTGTTCCTCTTGCCCTCAGTGTTTGCAAGCAAAAGCAAGCAAAGCTCTTTGGTTTATAATTTGGTTTCACTAGCTTAGCTTTCTTTGCGGGAAAGGCACGGTTGACAAAAGGAAGAGCAAGGTAGCCCAATCAGCACCAAACCTCCAACCACCGTCCGACGAATCTCATTGAGGCAAGACCTTGGCTACAGGGTAGTCATGTGTCCAGAACAAAGCTGATGGGATCTCCATACGACGATGAGGTTTGGGCAGAAAACCTGCTGGGCTCAAAATGTCAAAGCTCTTGTCAATGTCAATGTCCAAGGCTGTACCCTTGAACCCGGCCTCCCAAAAAAGAGCGGGCCCATGCTTGACGACCAAACCTTTAAAACAGGAAGGCACGCGCCCAAAATCACTAGGGCGCACCTTCCTCAGGGAGAATGTGACAGCTTGACACCCAGCAAAGATCTCCGTGAAGTGCCGATCCTGGCAAGTCAGGGGCACACACGGTGGCTTTGCCTGAGCAATCTGAAGGTTAAGAGTACAAAAGACATGAAGCCAATGAGCTGACATTCAAGCAAGCCAGGTAGGCAACCTCCTGGTCTCTGAAACGCTCATGCTGCACAAGCAACAGCACTACAAGCAAGAGGCTTGCAGGAAGCCTCCAGTGGAGGCCTCGAAACACTATCCCCATCTGAGAAAACAAATATAGAGCCAAGACCAAATGCTGCGGAAAAAACAACTTTGCAACTTCAAAGGGCTGACATCGTTGCCGCCCCACTGAACCTGAGTTTCACACCTGTAGGCATAACAGCACAGAAAGTGTAGAAAGCGCCAGGAACATGCATTTTACCGGCCAACTGGCTTGCTCTTCACTTCACACCCTGGCACCCCAAAGAGGCATGACCCCTAAGGCTGACGTTTGTCTCCCCTATCAAAGCATCGCTGAAACACAACAATGCTTTGTGCAATCGCAGCAAACGTCAACCCACACCTTAGCCTGGGTAAGCGCATTCAAGCCTACATGAACCTACGTTTTTTCAACGTAGGCTCGTCCAAAGTTGAAAGCACATCTGACCGAACATTTGAAAGCATCCACTGCTCATTGGCAACTTGTCCGCCAATGCACGGAAGTTCCTTCTTCAAAGCTGCTATGAAATCCCTACGGAGCTGACCAAAAGCCTTGGCCTCGTAAGCTTCAGGAACAGAAAGGGTCGCAACAATCTTCTGAACAGCACTATTTACAGCTTCCTCTGAAGGCGGCATGGCCGACTTCTTGCTCCGAGACGCTGTTTTCTGTTTGCTGCACTGATTCTTTTTGGCCTGAACCCCTTTGTTTTGTTTTTTCACTTTCTTTCCTTTCCTTTGTGTTTTTGGCTTCTGTTCTTCGTCATCTTTCTCAGATGCTTCACTAACAGCCACAGTCGGAAAGGGCTCCACGCTCTCCATGTTCTTGAGCACATCCATCACCTGAAAGGCAAAGCGCTCCAACAAACAAGCAGTTCAATCTTTTCAGCGATAGAGACTTAGAACTAAAAGCTCAGCCCAAAACCCATGGTGGCATTTCAAGCTCCGAAGACCGCATCTTTGACGAGTTCTCAGGATTCACCTTTTGAGCCTTTTCCGGAGAAGTTTCAACATCCACAACGACTGGGGTTGCACTCCCAGATGATTTGGATGCTGAGGTTGGGGGAGCAGTAGAAACATTGTCCTGCTCTGCTTGAAGGAGTGCAGCTTCCAATTTCCCCCATTCAAACGCATCACTCTCCAAGAAGCTGGCCGAATCACCGCCCCCCAAACTCAAAGCTGAGCTGGCTGAGCTTCCCAAAGACGCTTCGGAGGCAATGCCATCATTGAGCCGCTTCTTCAACGCATCAAGGGCTTTGCTCTTGGCAGCTGTTGGGGTCTCTGACCACAGTTTCTTGAAACGACACACCAACTTTTTGGTCCCAAATGCCATCTTGTCACACCACTGTTCTATGGCAGCTTCACCAATGCCAACAGCTGGAACCATCCCCACCAGTTCTAAGTAGACCCTCAAAGCCTTTGACAAAGTATCTTCAGACACTCGAGTGCGAGGCGACACTGACAGCACGCCAAAGAGAACCTGAGGGCTCAACAACACGTGGACCACATCAACACACACATGAAGTCCCCTGCTTGCAAAGCAAAAAGCAGAAGTGTTCTGCGCCAAGTCATGATTGTTGCATTTACCATCCTTCGCAAAGAAGTCCTTCGAATGAGGCCGGACAAATGTCCATCCAACCTCAGGAAAAAACAAGAGGTGTTCAAACCTTGGCAGCAAAGAAAGGGTTGCAAGCAGACTTCCTGAGTTAGGCACACTTGCTAGGCCTTCATTTTTCCATGCAAGGGCATATTGGTCAGCCATGTCTGGTGTTGTTTTTAGCTGCTTGGTTACACGCCCCATGACTCTGGACACTTTCCACGGGCACCAAATGGCTACAGATTCAGGAACGAAAAACAGCTTGTTCATTCACACACACCTTCAACACAAAGCTGTCTAGAAAATAAAAAATGGGAGGGCACTGTCAGGCTGAGATGAGACGGCGCTTCTCCACGTGCGGTATTTCGGCATTCGGTATGAAAGACCTGAGAAGTCTACAGCTACACATGGGGTCAAACGCATAAGGAAAAACTCAGGACTCCACATATGGTCAGAAGGAAGCCAAACCAAATGGGGGTGAAAACACGATCAAGGTGATCTGCAAAGGACTGCGTTTCAAC